CGGAGGAAGGTTAAGAAAGAGCGTCGGCCGAGGAACGCGACGTAAGGGTCCGTGCTTCCCCCCCACCCCCCTCTTTTTTCGAAAAGTCTCTTTTTAGGAACACAAGACAACGCGCGGGCACGGCCAGGGACAGCTTCGCGAGATTCGAGAGGTCGTAGGTGTGCGATACGTCGGGAAACGGAGTCGGAGGGATGGTGGATAATATAATGATGGCGTCGGCTGGGCGAGGAGGGGCGGGGCTACGAGGGGATCAATATTATCCTCCTCCACCTCCACCTCCGTTTCCTCATCTATGCGTCTCTCTTTCGCCCTCTCACACACTCTCTCTCTCTCTGTCTCTTTCACTCTCTGTCTCTCCCTGTCTCTCTACACCCACGACTAACCTTCCCTCAGGCTCCCCCTCGAGTTTCCCCTTCGGCGCGGCCACCATCGCCATCTCCACCCTACGAATGTCAGGTTTCTCTCCCTTCTACCGTCTCCCGCGGCCTCCTCTTTCAGCTCGTCCTTCGGTTCCTCTCCCTCCCCCCCCTCTCTCTCTCTCTCTCTCTTTCTCTCTCTGTCTGTCTCTCTCTTTCCTCCTTCATCTTGTAAAGGATGCGAACTCGCACGAATTCACGCGAACGTTTCGCACGGAATGAACGAGATCGTTAATCTAGACGCGGAAAAACGTAAAGAAATTGCGCGATACGTCGAGAGATTTATATTTTTGGCGTTTGCGTGTCGTAATTGTACTTAAAAATTTCTTACATTTGATAACATGCCAATGTGGAGTAAAAGAGTATCAGGCTCTCACTATACTTTGTATTTACTTGAATATAATGATCGGTGTGTTATCGATAAGACTCGCCAATCCAGATTTATGTACATAGATTCTGCGAACGCGACCAACTTTGCTTAATTCTGACAGTCGATGTTCATCGTAAATACGATGTGTAGACAACTTGTGCAGAGACTACCGGGATAGATTGGGATTTCAAGTTAATTTTCTCAACAGACAGCAATTTCGAGGATTTAATTGTCAATTCACTGTGTGGAGACGTATTTATAAACAACGCCGTAAGTCGGCGCTGCGAAACGGCGCCCCGGTCCGATAGGATATCGTTTGAAAAGCGTTTCGCTTAAATAGGCCTTACTCGAGAGCCGGTGCTCCGGTAAGACTCGGCTGTAAGACTCTCTTGACCGAGGAACTAACGGCGCGGCGTGGCGCGCAACTTCTGAGCGCAATGGAACAAATCGCGGTTACCCGGAAAGCCCGGAGCCCGATGTTAAGTCATGGGATTACCGCGGACGGGCCGGTGCGGTGTTCGAGGGTGTCTATGTAGCACGTAGACGTATGTGCGGCGCGGAAGACGACTGTGGGGAAGAGCGACGCCGACGATGGAACGGGACAGGACAGGAGGGACCGTAGGGGGTGTGATTGATGAGGCATCCCCGGTCACGGTCTCATTACATTTATATAAGCTTTCGTAGATTGAGCCGAACGCGCGCGCGCGCGCGCGGGAGCGAGAGACAGAAAGAGAGCGAATGGAGGCTTACGCGGTGGCGAGGGGTCGTGATTTGATGAGATTTTATTGCCCGAATGATGTGACGCGACCATTGTTCCCCGAGTCGGTTGCCGGGAGGAAAACAATGGATTCGATTTATCGCGTCAACCGGCCGCTACCTCCGAGAACGCGTCTCGACGCCATCGAGAATCGGTCCGACGCACGTTTAATGGCGTATAATAACTTTTTAGCTGGTTGCAAAATTATAAATGGGTTACTTGCGGCAAACGCGCGGCTCCGCGCTCTGGGAGAAAAAAGACGGTTAGCAACTCATTTTGGGGCCCACAGTTAGTAATCGAATTATTTGAATTGTTCGTAACTCTAATGTTTTACAAATTTTACCCCGCGTGACTAAAAGTCGCAATTATTCTTTCTATATCCAAGACTTAAGTAATGCTTACCAATTCTCTCAATTAGTTCTGTCGATATTCAGTAACGCAAAGATAATTTTCACTTAAGGGGATGCTGGAGTGATTTGATTTACCGCCAGTCGCATATAGTTTTTGCGTTTGTAAATCTTATTATTGACTTTTATATACAAAATAATACCAGAGCGGTGTGTGGACTGCACAGTAGAATATTTTCATTATTATAAAAAAATATGGAGGATTGAAGTCTAATTCGTATCGTATTATGTCTTTGAAATTTTTAATTATCCCGTCGGAGTTCAGCCGTCACTCCAGCATCCCCTGACCGAAATGTTAACAAAAAAAAACGGTCCAAATTTTTCCCAAAGTGGAGTTACGAGCAATTCAAATAATTCGATTACTAATTGTGGGCCCCAAAATGGGTTGCTGTCTTTTTTCCCCAGAGCGTGAAAACAGATTTTCTGTATCGTAGCTCGTTGCGTCAATATTTTGTGGATATTCGTCAGATTGGATTGGAAATAGCTATTAATGAGATTAACATAATACGCCGATTAATTATATCATAAATTATTATCGGAATGCGATACGCGTTGTATATTTGTTGGTATATTTGTGTCACAAACGCGATTCCTCTCACGATTCGCAGATCATTTGGTCAATAGCTGGGAATCCGGTCGGTCAGGCGACAGTTTTCGCCGCAGCCTACGTTCGCCGACCGGCTTATGAATCGAGAGGAGAATTAAGATTCTCCCGGTCATTCCGTCGAGATTCCGCGACGCTGTTAAACTTTATGGGCGCGGCGTCTTGTGTGTACAACACCGGTGCGCGAGAGAGTTTATTGATTCTCGAGTCGCGGCATCTTTCGCCCGCCGTACCATTCTGTCCTATCGAATTTACTCCCTCCTGGCTTATCGTCGCCGCCCGTAGTGTCGCGGCTACCGGGCCGCTTCGTAAAATCCAATGATGTTTCTCGCGCGGCTTACCGATGCGGAAAAAATACGCATTCTATACGTAAATCTTCCGCGAGGATAGATCGAAGATAAACCACGTTCTTTATCGGCAAAAGAATGATAACTTATTGATATCGTATTGTGATGTCGTGCTAGCCGCGATATTAATGATAACAAGACGTAACGTAAAATAACAAGAATAACTGTTTCTTAAAGATCGTCTACATTGGAAGTAAGCAGTAGGAAGGAAGAAAGCCTAACCTTTACCTTTCAGTGTAAAAGCTAAAGTACAGACATAATTTTTTTTAAAATATTTGTAGCATTGGTCGAACCGCGCTCCAATTCGCCGAGAGTAAGCGTCAAAGCTGAAGTAGGAGTAAGAAATGGAAATGATTAATTTCTTTACTCCTATTCTTATTCCTTACGCCAGGCTTACTTCATCATTGTAGACGATCCTTTAAAGAAAATGTGCCTAAAGTTAATTAACGGAGGAGGGGAGAAGTTTTAAAATCCCAACAATGTTGCACATATACATATCTAACCGTCGTCGTCCCATTGAGATTATTCCGTTCGATTATACAACGAAGATTACTAGCAAATTCGGGTCTGTCGCGCGACGTTCCGAGAATAATCGTCGAGAGGAAGGGACATTATTCTTCATTAGCTAGTCTTCCGCCCCCACTTTCAATGACCCGTCGCGCCTCTTAGCGTTTCCACGGCGCGATCGTAAGGCCATCCATCTTACGGAGTATTCTGCCGACCTCCTTCAGCATCGCTTCGACCCTCAGTATCCTTCCCTCCTTTCTTCCTATCTCGCTCTCCTCCTCGGCCACCCGACCCTCTCTTCGTCGAATACTTGCGCCACGACCCTTCGTATGTCGCATTTTCCCGCCCCTTGCCTTACAGTTACGCGAGAGCGACGTGTATCTGAGCGCAACCAGCCGTATAATTGTTGGGGGGCGAGCAGGAACGACGGCGGGCGTCGTCAAGAAAGGGAGACGACACAGCCGAAGGGCGCCGGGTGGGTAGGTTCGAGGTTGAAGGGCGAGCGAAGGAACCGGGAGGAGGGCTGAGAAACGGCTGACGAAGTTCGCCGTAGTATCGAGCGTGGGAGAAGGGCCGCCTTGAATTAACGCCGTCATATTTCAGGATGGAGGAGCGAGCCGGGGTTTTCTTGCTATTTGTCTCGAGATTCACCTACCGTCTACCATCGAGCGGAACCGCCGCGCCGTTGCTTTCTTCGTTGCGTTCGTGACTAATAACCCGCGGTGTGCAAACGCTCGCGAAATCTGGCGAAACGCTACGCATCGTTCTGTGCCCTCTTCGCTTTTCCCCTCGTTCTCGATATACGAGCTGTGTACGTTAAAAACGAAATCTGGAAGGGATTGAAGGCTAAATGTAGCATCTAAAAATGCTAAAATGCAGCATTTTTTTATATAATTACAAATCGTTTATCGATTTGAACATGTGAATTCACTGACGACAATAATTCCACTTGTAAGAAAACTGCGTTATGTCCGAAAAGAAATCGGCGTGCAGAACAAGTGTGCAAAGAAACGGTATACGAATTCACGATTTAATAAAAAGAATTACAAGTATAGGCTATCTACATCCTGCCTTAGACTCGCATTGGCTACTTTCTTGTTTATTGTTTAGAAATCTGGAGGGTAACGCTGGTATATCGCGAAAAGATCACGGAGTCTCCTTAAAATATCCATCGATCATTTGACGAATAATTACACAAATGTCTTGTACCCTTGCCGTTCCTTTTGTAGTTTTACCGAAGAAGACCCGAATTGGATTGAAACGTTTGAATTTTTGACAATGAATGGTCTTTCAAAAAAAATCGATAACGCCTTTTTAATCTGGCGCTTTGGCTCACATTGGCCCTTTCTTCAATCTGTTACATCTCTTCGAAATGCTGGTTATCCAAAGATAGAAATGAATCATCGGACGAAACCTAACCGACAGACATTCCTTTGTTAAATTTGTCAAGTAATGTACAGTCTTATTCATCAATGCCTGGACCTGCATTTTTTATTATCACTTTTCTCATCTACACAAATCACTGAGTTGACTGTACATATTACAGTTGATAAAGACATTTTTCTCACAGTGCTCCGTTCCTCTGTTTCTAGGTCTGGTTCAAGAACAGGCGGGCGAAATGGCGGAAGAAGGAGCGCAACGCGATGAATGCCGCCGCGCAGGCCGCGGCGGATTTCAAGTCGGGCTTCAGCACAGCCAGCCTGAACGGCTTTATCGCCCAACCGTTTCCGGACGCCGACTCCATCTACAGCTCGTACAGCACGTACAACAATTGGGCCAAAGTGCCATCGCCGTTGAGCGGCAAGAGCTTTCCCTGGATGAACACTCTGGGCTCGGTCGTGCCCGCGGCGCCGCATCATCACCATCACGCTCAGGTCAGCACGTTTAACGCCGCGGCGACGTCGGTCGGTGGTGGCCACGTGAGCGGCATGTCGGTATCGGTCGGCCAGGCGGCGACGTCCATGCTACCGGGCATGGGCTCCGGCCTCGGTGTCGCGAGCTCGCCGGTCGCCGCATCCAGCGCGGCGTGTCCGTACGCGGCGCCGGCGGCGCCGCATCATCCGTACGGACCGCCGGTTTATTCGTCCCATCATCGATCACCCGAATCCTGCACAGTGATGACGTCAAGTAGCATCGCCTCGCTACGAATGAAAGCGAAACAGCACAGCAGCGGTTACGGCGGCGGTGGCGGTGGTTCCTTCGTCGTGGGCAGCACCACGGGCGGCACCACGGCCGGAAGTATAAGTCCCGTGAGCTCGAGAGCGTCTTCGGTCGGCGGTGGCGGCGGTGGCGGCGGCGGCAATGGCGGTGGTTTGAGCGCCTGTCAGTACGCGTTAACAACAGCGGCCGGAACGAACCCCCATTCCCCAGGTGGTCCCGAGGCGCACGTCAACGTCACCGCCAGGGCCCAGGTCTGAGGCGAAGCGGGGGCTACGTCTAGCCCCCATCATCACGGCGTAGCGAATCCGAACTCCGGGAGTTCCCTCGGTGGCGGCGGCGGCAGCGGCGGCAATCAGGTGGTGCCGCCGTCCTCCACCGCGACCGCGGTGTCGGGTCAGCCGAGCGACAATCAGCTCAGGTCGCAAGAGTGACCCAGGCCTAGGTCCGCCGCATCGCCGACGCTATCGTCGACGCCCTCGTCGACGACCTCGCATCCGCATTACCTCATGTACGACGAGGACGGGGCCGCGGCGGACCAAAAGATGGAGGTGGACGAGCGAGGTGTGATTGAGACGAGTAGCATGGTGAATCCGGAGGTGGCTGCCGCCGCCGGTGGTATCGTGGGAGTTGGTATCACCGGTGTGGGGGGTGCGGCCACCGCGAGTGGCACCGGACTCACTGGTTACTGGCAACACGCGACTACCGCCACCGGCTACTGGCCATCGATATTCGACTGCTGGACGACGCCGCCGATCCCGTCCGGTTCGCAGACGCTGTCTTTGCCGCGGGATGACGATTGAGGCCAGTAGAATTTTTTTCACCACTCACTCGGCGCTGTCCTACTTCCCCCAATTTATCGCGACATTTACTCGTTTCGTTTCATTAAATATCACAGCTTGATATCTAAGCGAATAATGGCACGCGGATACCATATTTACATCTCTGCCGAGAACCGCAACAATTGTTTAGTTGTAGCGAATGAAACAATATATGTACACACCCAAGATTGACTTCTTGACGCGCCTCTAGAAATTTATAAAGGTACAATACAAAGTTGCTTATAATGTGTTAATCGATAATCGACAATTGAACACGCAGTGCAAATTTTCTCGCAGAATTGGAAATAGTTGCTTTTCGCGGACTCTGAATTTCACCGACAGCCAATAAACTTCGCGAAAATTGAGGGCGAGGAAAAAAGGGTAAAGAACTGTGAACGATAGAAGAACTTACAATATTTGACTACGTTGTAAATATGATGTATTATGCGAGTAACTGACTACGTCGGGCGCGATCGACGAACTATGAGTTCGGTGAGTTCGGTGAAACCGCATATATTCCTGAAGACGGATAAAGAAAAAAAAATGGAGTACAAAAGTCGAACTTCCGCCGCGATGTGAAAAGTGTGTAGTTAATCCCCTCCCCCTTCCCTCATGTCCCTTCCAGGAATTTAATTTGGCAAATATAGTCATTGTCCGAGCATACATCGCGACAAGGTAACGAAATAGTGTTGAAAGAAACAAGAAGCGAATTTCCACGAGAGAGAGAGAGAGAGAGAGAGAGAGAGAGAGAGAGAGAGAGAGAGAGAGAGTCGCGTGACGTAAACGAACTAGTTGTTGAAACGACGCACGTTTCGATCATTTGTTTTTCGACGCAATACAAAATGTGGGGTGGGGTTAATTTCTAAGAACGACGGCGCTAATAAAGATCCCTCGCGGATCGCGTACTCACTACTCTGTAGATACATGTATAGTAGAACGCCGGCTCTTCGTGCCGCGCGTAACTGTATACCAAAAAATTGTTACATTGTAATGACGATAATAACGATTATTCAGCAGAATACTAAGATATATTATAGGCTGTAAGTAAGCAGATTATGCGTTGTACAGTGTATGGAACAAAGAGCATCCTATCGATTAGGCGTACGTTATAAATCTGAATTAGTATTGTCGAATAATTAACTAAAACAAAAAAAAAACAATATTCGCAGTATCCTCGCGCGGCGCGTGCAATTGGATTTTTCAAGTCCGTCGATTTCTCTTCCTCCTCGTACTCTTTATCGTTCCGACGACAGTGTTTATCTTATACGTATATACCCTTGATTGTGTAACTAGAGAGGCGTTAACGTAACCAACGAAAATGTCCTATTTTTATAAGTAGCTTATTATTTGATAGACCACGCGTTGTGAGAAAACAAAGCCAAAGTTAAACCCAAAAAATATCACGTATGTATAGTAATTATGCGACGCGCGTCGAGGCCACGGAGATAATTGTATAAATTATTACGCATAACGGGGGAGTGCGGTGGAGATTTGGAAAAACGGGGTGAAATGACGACGAGAGACACGACGCGGGGTCGATCGACTTCCGGCAGCCGACAGCGCGCGGCCGATCGCCATCGAGCTTCGTGGCATAGTCATGTAAGATAGGCGTAAGAAACGACCGCTATTTTGTATGAATCCCAATGTCGTACAAATGTTCGTCGTAATCACATATCCCAGTCCCTGGCGGTGGGTGATCCGTAACGTCACACGCAGAATGTTCTTCATTCCCGTTTGTCACCTCACTCGCTACGTGTAAACGTTCCTACTGGGCGATATTGAGCGCCGTAAAAGGCCCCGTTTGTAATCTAGTCACAATAAAAACCAATTCTATTCTAAAGCAACGCCTCGGAAGCTGTATCCCTCCCACCCTCCACCCGCGCGAGAGTCCGCCGATAAGATTACAATTTTTATTTCGCGCCGGCTGTCTCGTAAAACCAGCAATTTCTTGATGACTTTAAGATTGGTCTCTTTGCATTTAACGAATGTCTCGTAAAGTTCGATGAAAACAATCCGAGCGCGAGAGTGGAGGAAAGTCCCCTATTATGAGACAGAATCCTAATATGGGAGAGCGGGGTTTCTGTTAAATTAATAGGCATCATCGGTTGATTCTACCGTGAATTTATTCTTGGAGCGAAATCTGTTTAGTGAATAATTCATTGTTAGATCGTGTAATAATTGGGAAAAGAGTGATTGAATTTGAACGTTGCAAACCTGCTACCTCGTACCAGAAACCTAACTCATAACAGAGGACTTTCCTCTCTATATTTTCGCGTCGCTTCTCGCGTTGTCGTGTCACGGAACAAGGAGACACCAAATGGGGAGATGTCGGGCAATGAATGCCGATACATGATCGTGCTATTTATAGGTAGTTAGTTATGCCCCTCGGACATTGAGGGAGCACCTACGATAACCTACGCGGAGTTCACATGCACGCCGAGCGTGTAACGTATTGCATTACGGCGGTCGGGACGTGGCGATAAATTATGCACCCTCGGCTGGCACGCGAGGGTCGATCGCACGCTGGCTCGTGCAACCACCCTCGTGTGCTAAACTAAACTAAACGTATATTACAATGATCGCGCGGCGCCGTTAATGGCGCAGCAGTTATAAGATGTTGCAGCCCCGTATGTTTCCCCATTATATGCATACGGCGGTCGCGCATTAAGAAAGCCACCGGCTCTGCTGCGATCCAAATGAGCAGTAACGAAAATTAATGCGCTAATTATATTAACATGTACGTTTCTTCAGATAATAATTATATTAATTATATTCATTTATTTTACTCATTACCATTGATTATTATTTCATGCAATTTATATTATTGCACGCGACACACGGTCCTGCTTATTATTGTTTTATCCACGAATATTACGAATGCGCAACGTTATCGGTTTATTTTTTCCGAGATCTCGGTAAGATCCCATCGCGCCGCTTAAAATTCCTCCTAATTGTAAGTCCAATGTACAAAGAGCGTTTTATCTCTGCGCCAACTTATCTTCTTCCGTAATCTTATCACTCGTATAGCGCGCGACACTTTCCTCAAAAAAAAAAAAAATTCCGCGCGTACTCCTTTAAAATTTCGTTACATCGTTTACGGCCAAGAAAATTTCTAAGAGAGCTTTTTATTCTCTATACTTCCAGTGTTCTGGACGTGTTAACAAAAAATAATTTTTTCTCACTCCTATTTCTGATTTCGCTTTCTAAAAAAGAGAATGTCACTTTATCTCGCACGTCGAATTGAATTAATCGGATATCGCGACGTCGGCTTGGTATTTCGGCGACATTTCTGACCATGTGACATCTCGTGAAAAGAAATGAAAAGGGGAGTATTCTTCTCTCCACTAGGCGTCCTACTTTCTTCTCGCCTCGTTCCATAACAACGAGTCTTCCCCCGCCTCTTCGCCGGTCTCCAATTCAGAGCAGGTAATTCGGTTCTCGTCCGCCTCCGTGCATCCCCGACCGAACATTTGAATACGGAGACGAGCTCGAGCGAGACGTGGCGGGAAAACGAGAGGCGGGAGACACGGGAAGAGATGGAGCGAAGTAGGCTAGGGTGGGCCGCAGCCCTGCCATCCACGTTTCCCCGACGAAATGACCTTCGCCAGTAAAAAGACGTGCCGGGACCGTCGTCGTCTTCGTCGGCTTACGAACAGTCACCGTAACTCCCGAAACTTCTCTCGGCGGAGTGAAAGCGCGCGGAGGACACGGGACGTGGCGGAGGAAGCGGGGGAATTTGAGGACCGTCACGGCGGGACGAATCGCGGGAGGGCGAAATACGCAAAGACGGCGACGGGCCCGTTGAGATTCGAGGATTTACCCGCGAAATAAAATCCGATACAGCCTCGTGAATATGTTGTTCTTGCTTACGGCGCGCTTGCTCTCCCATGGGCGACGCGATCCTTTCCCCGGCGCCAAGACGACGTACCCTCGACTCGCCTCGGGCAGACAAATATCGCGGATCGGCACGTCACCGTAGTTTTTCCTCGGCATTCTTACGATTATGGAATTACGCCAGCGATGACCTATTTTGGCGTCGGTTTAAGATCCGTGAGTGTTGGTCTGCAACCTTGCTTTAAGTAAGCTGTAAGCCTTAAGCCGTAAGAAATTAACCAATCACAGGCATTTACTCCCCTCACTCTCACCTGTGATTGGTTAACTTCTTACGGCTTGAGGCTTACAGCTTACTTAAAGCTAGGTTGTAGACCAGCACTGATGGACCACGTCAGGAAATATAACACAAATGCTCTTCGGCCCGGTTGCATCAATGTCTTTTCTACACGGAGAGACTGATATGGACACCACACGTCTAATTAGGGTTGGTACAACCCCAATAAATAGTAATATTTCGGACAGCTATACCCACATTGGTATGATAAGTAGTGGAGACAGTTATATGCGTTTTGTGCAGCAAACTTAGTGAATGTTGCAACACAAAACAATGTAGATGCCCCTACTACTTATACGGCAACATTTTAATTTTAGTTGTTTTTACCTTAGCCGGTCTTTCCGTGTACTGGATCGCTTACGAGAGCCAATCAGGATTTAGCCTTAAGTCGTCTGATCTAAAGCTCTGCATCCTTATTGATTCTCGTAAGCAATCCAGTAGGGAAAATAGTATCGTGTGGCTTTAGCTTAATTCACTCTTTGTCTCTTTCTAACGAAAACAGAAAGAGACGAAGAGTGAAGTAAGCTACAGTTAAAATTACGTGACGTTGGTGCAACCAGACCTTAGCAGACGCAAAAGTGCCTTTAAGATCTCGATTAGAGGCCTTTACGAATCGAATGGCGATTGTCTGTACGCGGATTTTGATGAGTTCGTGCTAATTAATTTCTATACAATTATTCCCGAGGATTAGCGTCGATGCGCCTCGGTTGTTAGTTGAAACGAGCGTCTTCACCGAGGCTCGTCGCGTCTCTCGTTTACGCGCCGTAAAGTTTGCGCGGATCACGCGCTCAAAATATCAGGCGTCTGAGTAAGATAAAATGGCAATTAACATTAACTTGAGCAACGTGTCTCGCGAGGGGTAATAAAGATACCGGGACCACGTATCTGCGCCATCATCGCGACCTTATCGCCGTTCCTAGGCATTGGCGTAACCAACATATTTGGCAGGTTTCACGAGAACTCCGCACCTTCGTTATTATCTCGTGTCGTCACCTCGCGTAACCAAGGTCAGTAATTCAACCAAAGTAAAAGGCAGTCTTAATAAAAAAATTATTAGAACGCTAATTACCGTCAAATACCTTCAAAAATTCCAAGTCATTTGACGTCTTTGTTTATCAAAGCGAACACCTCGACGCTCCAAATAATTGAGATATATTTCTCGCTGATTCTCATGTTTAAATGTGACCGACACTGATCGTAAACTGTTGGATTTTTAATGTAATTCCTGCGTGACGTCATTTTTTCCGCTTCTCTATATTTATTGTAGTCCTTTATGCAAACTATTGCGCGATACTATACGCGCGTACGCCATATAGTAGAGTGGATCTCAGGTACGGTGTTATTTATTGTCGGTACGCGAGCTATCGTCCGCGGTGCCGCCGGCTCGAATCAGCGAACCATTCTCGAGTTCAACTTACTTTCAAAGTTGCTTCGACTAGCCCGTTCTTGTACCGAGAAACTCATTAGTGCGAAAATAAGTATATTCTGCACTCAGTAAATCGGATCAACAAATTTCTCCGATGACTGATGCTCATTGTAAAATCGTAGTCCGATTTGGAAAACTTTGAGTTTTTCCAAAATGCCTTTTTATGTCGTGATATTTAAAATTGTTAACTTTTCTTTCGTTATATTTCTATTAGGGATTCAAAGTCCCCTTTTAGACGCACAAGTTAAATATTAAACGTATATTGATAATATTTTTCTACTATCGTATATTTTTTCTTTATATTAATTTGCATTTCTTATCATTTGCGTAAAAATGTTTAAATCGTGCAAAAATTTCATAGATAAGATTTTAATAAGATCTATTACGTACACGCTAAAGTCAAATCTTTCGCTAAATGGAATAATGATTTTATAGTTCGCAGACAATTTCATTGCCATTTGCGGTTGGACAAATAAGAACAATGAATAAGCATAAAGGACCATAACTGTTACTTAAAGAATTTTGTTTCAATCGGGCAGCACTTTGATAAACTTTTTTCGCTCTGTTGTAAGCTCTGTAACATCTGGAAGCCGATGTCGATCGGTCCATTTGGCGTTGATTGTTTTCGCGTATAGCAATCAGTCAGAGTGCGAAACGTTGTACTTACGTATGCGCGCTGCCATAAAATCGAACTGTACTCGCATTTTCTCTCGAACGAAACTCGACGAGCAGCCGGTTACCTCAAGTGATGAAATGAATACGACACGTTCTATCTGTAAGAAATAAGATATCCTTTGAAACTCTACGACACGCTGGTGGCAATAAAAATTACTATCAAGCGACACATTTGACAATTAATTAAACTGAAAAAGAATTTTTAAAAAGGACACGAAAAGTATTGTATTTCTTATTTGTCTGAAAATTCCACGAGTTAAGAGATTTCTCACTTTTTTCGAAAAAGAATATTTCAGTCCCTCATTGAAAATATATATGCGAGTTTTACCAGCATTTTTGTAAGCAGTGCTCGTTTCGAGGATAAGAAAAACTGTGATTATCAAAAGCGGGTTTTCCGTGCAAACTGAAAGTATATTGTCAAAATGCGTTTGCGGTTACGTTAACGGTTCGGATCGCTGGTAAGTGTTGTAGCACGCCTATAAAGTTGGTACGTCGCGGAGACCATGCATAGATGCATATAAGGATCAGCGAGGGTACTACATAATGCATCACCGCGATTCTCTCCTACCCC